TTTTTTTTTTTTTTAATGTTTATTTATTTTTGAGACAGGGAGAGACAGAGCATGAACGGGGGAGGGTCAGAGAGAGAGGGAGACACAGAATCTGAAACAGGCTCCAGGCTCTGAGCTGTCAGCTCAGAGCCCGATGTGGGGTTCAAACTCACAGAGTGTGAGATCGTGACCTGAGCCGAAGTCGGCCGCTTAACCGACTGAGCCACCCAGGCACCCCCAGAATCAGTTTAATAAATGGATCTGGATCTAAGAGAAAGAGCTGGTAAATGAAGTCATGCATCTGGATGAAGTCACTCAGGAAAGATACTGAGAAAGATGTGCAGAGAACCTGGTACTGAACTTTAGGAACCAATATGTAAGGTGTATAAAGGGGAAAAAGCTATATGGTTAAAGGATGTGGTCATACTGAGGTATGAAGTGAAATGGAGCTGAAAAAGGAGAGAAAGCGGGTGGGGAGGGAGATACTGAACTAATTTGAAGGGGGAGGATGGTGGGGACCTGCGGGCCAATGATATTGCTTGGACTATGTTATTGTCACTGGGGTCCAACAGATCATACAAATCTCTCCACTCCAAATTAAGCAATTTATTACTCCATAAACTTCTCAGAAATAATTTCCCAAGTACATACAATTTCTTCTCTAAGTAATTTTATGGAATGAAGACATGTGTTCATCAATTATGACTTATATCCCCTCAAGGCAGGAACCACCTCTTTTTTTTTTTTTTTTTTTTTTTTTTTTTTTTTTTTATCCAGAAACTCCTTCAGCTTCTTATGACCAGCTTTTCATAACTGCCTCCTTTTGCTACCCAGGGCCAGCAAAAAGATTCACCCTGAATTCCCCAGATAAACCTGAGAAGGGTGCCTGGATGGGATATGTTTGTGTGGGACCCTGGAAGGTTTATGGTTACTCTGGGTATGGAAAACAGAGCCCAAAGTAAGATTCTTAAGTCATATTTTCTTTTCCCTTTCCTATATTGCATCTCTTCACCCACTACTTTCATATTTTCTTGTCTGGATTAAAACTTGGAAGGGTTGGTGGAAGGGAGGCCTGACATTGCTTTTTCTTGAAATGCTGCAACTCTGACAGATATCTGGGGGTTCTTTCTTTACCTTTCCTTGCCTTACCTGGACACAGCCTTCTAGGGAATGAAGCCCCTGAAATGAGAGCTGAAGGGCAGGTTTATGCTGGTTTCCCCAGGGCTCAAATCCATCCTTATTAAGTTGTATGAATACAAGGGAGGAAGAGTAATGACTGATTCCTTTGAGATTTCCCTATGGATCTCTACTTTTTAAAAAGAAAGCTGTTTTTCTTGGGTACCCTAGACCTCAATATCTTGCCAGAAGTGATGAGGGCCCCAAAGCCTTGCTTGTGCGAGAATGCATAGGCAGAACGTCGACAGCTTGCATATTTCAGTTTGGTCCGGGTTGGGGGTGGCAGTGGAAGTTTCGTGCAAAGATGAATTCTGTCCATAATCTATAGCCAGAACATGAAGGACAGTGTTTTTATCCACAGAGGCAAAGGCAAAGAGGGCCTTGAATTATATCTGGGTAGATTCCTTGTTCTACTCACCTTGTCCACGTTGACAGGCCAGAATAGTGGTTTGAGAAATTGGTACCCAATCACAGGCAAAATACAGAGGACCACGCTGAGGACAATACTCAGCCACATTTGTGGCAGGTTCAGAGTGTTCCTGGCCACACCTGTAAACAATGAGCCAGGAGGGGGAAAGGCTTAACCAGAGTCTAGACGAAGGGGGCTGTCAGCCAGAACTTAGATAACTCTCCAACCCAAAGAAGGAAGTTATTGGTTTGGAGACCATTTAGTCTCCTAATAACATAAATGCAAAAGAATTAGAGTGAGGTGCTTTTCTACAGGCAAAGTCACTGTGAATTCACATGCTTCTGTCTCCCTCTAAAGGCTGGGCAGGCCAGGAAAGATGGGGGTAGGTTACAGGAATCCTAGAACATTGGCCTAGACACAAAAATGGGATGCAGGGTTTTGGAGGGGGGAAAATGAGTGGCTTGATGACAGACGAGAGCCAGCCACATCTAATATCTACCCTCTCTATATTTTGCTCCCATCAAAGTAGAGATGAGAGATAGGAAAATTAATGTGGGAGACAATAAGGCAGTATGCCACAGTAGAAAGGATATTGGACTGGGAACCAGGAGAGCTAGATTTGAATAATTTTTAAAAACCTGCAGTCTCTAAAATGGTGCTAATAATTCTTGCTCTTTGTACCTCATAGGATGCTTACAAAAATCAAGTTAGGTAAGAAATTTGAAAATATCTCAGAAAATCTAACAGCGTAAAATATTCCCCCAGCTAGATTTTGCATCCTTTTAGGGCAGAGACCATGTCTTATTCATATCTATATCCACAGAACCTAGCACATAGTAATATGTGCTCAGTGAACATTTATTAAACAAATGTATTTGATTCACACTCCTCAACCCTACCCCCAACCTCCTTGCCACATACTGGGTGGGCATAGCCTTACCTAGGAATTGGAAGACGTTGGGGAACATTAAGCACAAGCCATCACTGTACAGGAAGAATAAGATGCAAAAGTAGAAACCCAGGCTACCCCAGGTGAAGATGTGGTTTATCATTGTCCAGTAGGTTGTCTCCAAGGCAATCTGAAAAGCACCCTCTTATGTGCAATACCCTACAATCTGGGGCATATCGGCCACCTCCCTTCTCCAGTCCCGTAATGGAGGATGATCCCTTCCCACCTTCCCTCCCTCCTTCTTCTTTCCCTTTCTTCCAGACAGGCTCCCCACCCAATCCCCTCCCTACCACCCCCCACCCCCCAACACTGGCCACACCTGCATTGTGACCACCCAGAGCAAGGAGGTCTGCACTATTAGGGAGAAGGACTGGTAGTCGGAGATTTCTTTCCCATCACTGCGTACTGAGTTGTAAATGGTCCCCATAGGGATAAAGAACAGGACGAAGGAACTGTAGATCCCATGCACTAAACACTTCACAAATTCCTTCTTGTTGAAATAGAGGTTGTGCTGGCCTGGCTCATACAGCTCTGGGAAGCGTAGACTCCATGTTTCATTCACGTCCTGGAAGCACCAGAGGGTAAGGAGGAAGGCTCAGGGTCTCTCCATAGAAGGTCCCATCTCCATCAGAGTAGAAGCTTCTCCCCCTCACTGAGTCTGCTGCCAGGCTGCCTAGGAGCTTCCTCATGGATTACTTGAGAAGTGGAACCAGAGAACAGAGCAGTGACCACAGACCCTTCGTGAAGTCCCATACTCTAGGCAAGGATCTAGGTAGTTAAAGAAAGCTAAGAGAAGTTCAAGATGGTGGTAAGGACCTGGAAACAGTTAGGATTGCAGAGTTAAGGGGGTAATTAGGGTTGGGGTAGCTGGAAGGGAGGACAGGAGCTTGGGATGGGGGGCAGTTGGGACATGAGTCCCCAGTTTTAAGTGATCCCTTAGTTGAATATTTTTTATCAAGAGCCAGTAAAAGGAGAGGGGGAAGCCAGTGGGGACCAGTTAGTCCCATGGAGGTATCCATGTTCTGTGATGCTCCTCCCATTCCTATAGTGACTGGTGAACTCAGGTGACAGGATTCTATATATGGAGGCCATTGGATCTTCTTCATCTCCTAAATCGGAAACTTTGAATAACAAAGCTTGGGGCTTGTTTTTGAGAGGATTTGGGTCCCTAGAATTAGCCAGATTAGTTGAAGCTAGATAGGACACAACTCATCCCTCTAGTTGCTCTGAGGCTAGCAGCTACTTCATGGAGAATTTTCCTTCCTACCCTGATGGAAACCAGGAACCATGATCCCATGATGTCCTCTTTTGGCTATTTTATTCTTCTTTGGAGGCTTCTATTCTATTCATTGTGCCCAAGACTGGAGGTTGGGGTAGAAAAGGAGGGAGAGGTATGGTACCAGGACCCCCAATGCCCAGGAAATTTCTGACAGGGATAGATGGTATCCCATAGGCTGACTCCCTAGGACTCAAAATATCATACCCACATTCCCATCCGTGGCCTTTAGGACTCTCACCTAGGCCACCTTGCATTGGTTTATCTTATTATCTCTGTATGGGTCTCTCCTTTCTTGAAGCCCCTTGCTTTACCTAGTCCTGCCCTAATAACTCTATATCCTTTCACTACTGTTATGCACACTCAATTTACTATAAATTTTTTTTAACATTTTTATTTATTTTTGAGACAGAGAGAGACAGAGCATGAATGGGGGAGGGGCAGAGAGAGAAGGAGACACAGAATCGGAAGCAGGCTCTGAGCCATCAGCCCAGAGCCCGACGCGGGGCTCGAACTCACAGACCGTGAGATTGTGACCTGAGCCGAAGTCGGATGCTTAACCGACTGAGCCACCCAGGCGCCCCTCAATTTACTATAAGACACAATTTCTATGTATCTCTATAAAGATAAAATTGAACACAGGAAAACTTGGATTTATAAAACTAATGATTATTTCTGGGGAGAAGGATTCTTTATCTTATGATACCTCTTCAGGTGATGAGTTCCCTTCCTTGCCCTAGAAATTACATTTATAATTGACTTTGTAGAACTCAGCTCTTTTTGTCCTCCCCACTCTTGGGAACATTCCTCAAGGGCCTAGGGGCTTTATCCCTGACTAAGAGGCTTGCTGCTGGTCTTACCTGGTCAAACAGACTCAAGCCCAGGACAGGGAGGGAGGTGTAGACAAGGTTGTAGAAAGTGATAAACCAGGTATCATAAACAGTCTAGAAGAATACCAAGGAGATTTCTTAGATTCCTCTCTTTTCCAAAATCCCAGCTCTACCTCCCAGGTTCAAGAGAGCCCCATTTGCCCCCAACTACCTAGCACTATACTAACCTAAAGCAGGATTTGGATTTCGGAAATCTGACAGAGAAGGGTGACCCCAATCTCTATTTGGTCATACTCTATTTAGAACCCTGGGTTTCAGGCTGGGCAAGGCCATATCAAGTTTGGTTGTGGTCAACCCTACAAGGTTAATTGGATCAACCCTACTGCCATGACCTGAACGATCCATGCCTGCACAGAAAAGATCCCAAGTGCCTGCTAGGGAATGCTAGCTGGATCCCTGCACTCTCAGGCATATAAGCCTCTGGCATCTTTTTATCTGATTTATGGCATTCAGTAGCTTCTATTACACTGGATACTTTCTAACACTAGCAAGTAGAATAGTCCAATGACCCTCCCCCAGCTGGGTGCTCCATCCTGGGGCCTAGAGAGGGCTCCTTTACTAGCCACAAGAGGTCAGCAAAACACATACATACACACACACCTCTCAGAAACTAGAATGGCTTTGCTAGACACTGGGGGTATACAAGTCTACTACTTTCAGCTGACCAGTCTGTTTCCCTCAGAGCCCAAGGTAACAAAGGTGGTAGAGATCTCCCAAGATAATCATTCCTGAGGTTATTTTTCTTGGGAATCCTTGAGAACCCTGAAAAACTTCTCATAGGAAAATGGATTCCTTGTAGAACATAAACATCCAGGTGTCACTTTTCCCCACTACTATGGGGGAGATTTAATACTCAAATGTGAAATTAATTCATTAGAGCAACAACAATTCATGTCTGGGGCAGGGAAAAGGGGGATCGTGGTGGGGAAGTAGAAGTAAAGGGAAGCTGTGTTTTGAAGTATGGCTACAGGTAAACCCCATAGTCACCCTGTCTGGCAAGTCTTTGAGGCTTAGCCTGTTCCATAAAGATTACTTAGATTAAAAAAAAACCCTCCAAGATCCAAGCATTTCCCCATATTATCTATGTTTGGAAACTATGTCTCCATGTAAGGTCAATGTTGAAAATATCTTACAGGAGAGTTTTGAAGGTGAAGTCCAAGTCAGAGCTAAGCCAGAAAAGTTAGGGTATGGAAATATAAGTTTAAGTGTTAAGGTTAGTAGATGGGATCACTATGGATCAGGAACTTTATGGATGGATGGCAGCATATCATACATTGGTCTCCAGAGAAGAAAAAGGGTCTGAGCTGGCTAAAGTGGAGGGTGAGTAGAGAAGACCCAGCTGACCAGAGTGGGGAATACCACCTGACCTCCTACCTGTGCAGAGAACCCGCTGAAGAAGGCATACCAGAAATGCACCAGGGTGAAAGCAAAATTTTTGTAAAAGAAGTAGCTGAGAAACTTGCACATGCGATTATAGGACCAGCGGCCATGGACCAAGAGTAGACGCTGAAGATAGTGGAACTGGGAGAAGGCATAGTCGCTGTTGAGCATGGCCTGCATTCCCTCCTGGCCGCTGATGCCAACCCCAATGTGGGCAGCTGCAAAGAAATCCCAGAAGCTTCTCAGCCACAGAGCTTGTCAGTTGGGCTACCAGCCTGGGAGGTGTAAAAGAAAGTCTGAGATCATGTTGTACAAATCCCTTATTTTACATTTGGAAAACACTGTTAGGCCCAGCTCAAAATGGCACTTAGTGGAGCCTTTTTCTCTTGAGTGGATTGCCCTTTTCCTTTAGTGGATTGTCAGAAAATAGCCTTTTCATCTACACTTTGTTTTGGATGCTGCCACTCAAGAATGCCTGGCATGGCTAGTACTAGAAAGCTCTCCTGGATGGTCTTTGTACCTCCTACAGCCATCTGGGCTCTTTCCTGCTGTCCAGATGCTGAGGTAAAAATTTCTTGTTATCAATAAAAACCACACTCAGATATCACCTCACGCCAGTCAGAGTGGCCAAAATGAACAAATCAGGAGACTATAGATGCTGGCGAGGATGTGGAGAAACGGGAACCCTCTTGCCCTGTTGGTGGGAATGCAAACTGGTGCAGCCGCTTGGGAAAACAGTGTGGAGGTTCCTCAAAAAATTAAAAATAGACCTACCCTATGACCCAGCAGTAGCACTGCTAGGAATTTACCCAAGGGATACAGTAGTACTGATGCATAGGGGCACTTGTACCCCAATGTTTATAGCAGCACTCTCAACAATAGCCTAATTGTAGAAAAAGCCTAAATGTCCATCGACTGATGAATGGTTAAAGAAATTGTGGTTTATATACACAATGGAGTACTACATGGCAATGAGAAAGAATGAAATATGGCCCTTTGTAGCAACGTGGATGGAACTGGAGAGTGTGATGCTAAGTGAAATAAGCCATACAGAGAAAGACAGATACCATATGTTTTCACTCTTATGTGGATCCTGAGAAACTTAACAGAAACCCATGGGGGAGGGGAAGGAAAAAAAAAAAAGAGGTTAGAGTGGGATAGAGCCAAAGCATAAGAGACTTAAAAACTGAGAATAAACTGAGGGTTGATGGGGGGTGGGAGGGAAGGGAGGATAGGTGATGGGCATTGAAGAGGGCATCTTTTGGGATGAGCACTGGGTGTTGTATGGAAACCAATTTGACAATAAATTTCATATATTAAAAAAAATTTTTCTTATCACTTAAAGCCATTTACATCAGTTGAAGATGCAGCATGGATGTCAATCTAACATAATATTTAATTACCTAAGTTTATTTAAGGAGCTAAAATCCACCTGTTAGGAGGAAATAATGATGTACATACTTTGTTAGTGAGTAGCAAATTCTTTAGGAGGCTTAATAGGACTTTTTCTGGATAAAACAAGGATTAGGATTGATGGAAAATGAGACTGAAGTGCCTAAAAATTTTAATTAGTCTACTTATTGTAGGGTAAATTCACTGATCTTCTGGTATATACCTACTGTATTGCTTAATGGAATAATTGAAACCTCTAAGGCCCTAAAAATCAGAGGAGTTCTAGAAAGTGGGAAAGAGCGCAAGAATACTTTCTAGTATTAAAGCCGAGGCTAGAATGTCTGCTAGTGTTTCCTGGATGGGGAGAGAGGTTGGACTAGAGGATCTCTAGGTATTGTCCATATCTCAGAGAACCACAAGTTGCTGGAAGCCAACAACATTCAGCTGAAATTAAAACCAGTTTCAGTCATTTGCTTTTATTGGTCCAAGGCCTCAGTAAGTCTGCTATTCTTCTTCAGCCAGGGGAGTCAGAGCAAGTTCTTGCAAACACTGCTTCAGGGAAGAAAAGATCCCTGCATTGTGCCTCACAGCTAATTCCTCAGTTGGGCAGTCCTGTCTTCTGCCTAACATCACTCAGGCCTACAGCCTTCAAAAACAGAACAGATTGTGACTCCTGCCCAGGGGTTCTTCATGCAGCCTTTGATGCCATCTTGGAAAGATGGTGTGGTAGTTGCACAACCTGTTGTTCTGTGAATATATGCGTATGTTCTTGTGGGAACCATGTGTATTTGTGTGTGTATGTGTGTGTGTAAGTGCATGAATCTGAATGTTTGTGCATGTCTGCATATGGACTGATATATGCATGTGTAAATAAGTGGGAGCGTAGGTATAGAGGAGGATGAATGAAGTTGCAAAACATTATAAATGTACAATACATATGATATGCAGGACTGTGAACCAAAAACACAGTGCCACCGAGGTCAGTTTTGTCCCTGGAGGAAGGAAAGGGCAAGCCCATCGTTGAAGGTTACTGCCCCCAACCCTCACATGCCTTTGATCATGCTGACATCATTGGCCCCATCTCCAATGGCCAGTGTCACCACCTTCTTGTACCTCTTCACCATCTCTACCACCTGGGCCTTCTGAAGGGGTGTCATCCGGCAGCAGATAACTCCCTTGCACATGCACGCTGTTCGCACCAGCTCCAACTCCAGGTTCCCTTCCAGAGCATAGGCCTGCAGCATCAGAACAAACCCACATTTCAGGTTGCCCAAAAAGGCTCTCAGGACAGGACCTTTCTAGGCTCTTCCCCATCTCCATACTCTCCTGTATTACTTAGGTCAGGCATAGAGGCTCCCAGGTGCTCCATTCCCAAGGGAGACAAGTGCCCAAGTCAGTTCTAGGCATCCTCACAACTGACACAGCCTCCAATTGGAAACCAGTCAGCCCAGTTGACTGGGCTATAAGGCCAAGTGACATTTTTGGAGGACTTGTTTCTGTTTGCTTCCCCCTTGCCCCTAAATGACAGGTCACATCAGTGGTGAAGAATTTGGAGAAGGAAGGAATATGCCCTTAGCTTCTCTTTCCTTATTATTCCTGCCTGGAGAAGGATAGGGAAAGGTGTCTATCAGGAAAGGGCATCAAAAGAGAGGGGGGGAAAGGGTGACTCATGAAACAGAGAAGTGGTCTTGAAATTTCCCTGAAGTGGGCTGGACCTAGGAGAAGAGTTCTTTGGGAGAACAGAACAGAGTTGTAGCTCTGTGTTGCCCACCAGACTGCAGCCATTGATGATCAAGCCATAGTTGCCATTGGGCACCTCCTCAGGTATTCTGAGCAATTGGGGCTTCGAGGTGAGGTAAATGTTTACTGGGTCTGATTCCAATAGAGACTCAGGTTTCATCTTGTCCCTGGCTGACCTGAAAGCCAAGAATACTGGTTAATGTCTGACTGGAAGCCCCAGAGTTAGGAAGGAAAAAGTGTCCCAGAATGAAAGTGGGTAATGTGGATAGAGCCTCTACAAAGCAATAGCCAGAACCTCAGACTTGACTGCCTCCTGAGACCTGCCATTGCCTTAGGTCCTTGACCATCTACACACCACACACCACACTTCTCCAACCTCAGAACTCCAACTCCTTGAGCTGTAATGCTTCTGCACAAAATCATATAAAATATTTTAGGTTTTTTTGTTTTCCCCTTCTCCATTTCTTCTTTGTTCCTTCTGGAGTGTGGGAGTCATACTAAATGAACCGTGGCAGTTCTCCCATCTATCTGTACCTGAGTTCTTGCAGAACAGTCTCATTATTCTTGCCTTCCACGATAAACATCCCATCCATTTCTTCCTCAAATATGTTACAGGCATAGGCAATGTTCACAGCAGTCTCTACAGGGAAGGGTGAACACAGGTCACATTTTGTCTGTGACAGGGTCTTTACAAAAGTGTACACATACATAGGCTCTAACAGTGGGCAACAGAGCCCATTTGTTCATGTTTGCCATGGATGCAGTCAAAGTGTATTTTTCATGAGTCACTGGAGACCATATTCAAACACACAGGAGACTGTTTACCTAGTACAGACTTCTGAATAATTTATCAATAATTAGGATCATTCTGGCTTAGCCTTTCTTTTTTTCTCATTTTTTTAATGTGGAATGCTTCATGAATTTGCCATCCTTGTGCAGGGCCATGCTAACCTTCTCTGTATCATTCCAATTTTAGCGTATGTGCTGCTGAAGCAAGCACCATTCTGGCTTAGTCTTTCAACAGATCTTTCCCTCATTTCTTAAAACAATTCCAAAGCGTATACACTTCTCCAAATAGTCAGGATGTACATCCCTGTGCCTGTGTTTATGCTAGATTTTATGGGGGACTGGGATGTTTTGGTTGTGGTCTTTTCTTTACATCAAGAAATCTGGAATTTGGAATAAATACATACTAAGGAAAAAAATTTTCCAAAAAATAAATCCTGAACCCTGACTGCAAGTGATATCAAAATTCAGAGGAGAGATTGGAATTGTTATAGAAACTTTCCTGGAAAAAGAGTTTGAGGGATGAGTAAGACTTATTTAGGTGAAGAAAAAAACATTTCAAATGGGAAAACAACTCAAACAGAGGCTCTAGAATAGGAATTTGATTGTTTGGGACATACTAAAGATGATGGTCACTTCAAGTTGCAGTATATGTAAGTAGCAAGAAATTATCCAGATCTTGAAGGCCAGACAGTAGAGTCTGACTTTACCATGAGGAGTTCCTAAAGGTATCTGATCAGAGGAATAACATATAAAAGTAGTATATTTTAGTGAGATTAAACTGATCGTATGTAGGCTGTACTGAAATTAATAAGGACAAGAGACAGAAATCAGTTCAGAAGTTTTTGCAGAAGTTCAGAAGTACAGCAAACAGGGAACAAAGGCTGAATTAAGGTGGTTGCACAGTCAAGGGGATCTTCAGAAGATACGGTGGGACATGGTGAGAGAATGAATCTTTGGGACAACAGAGAGGGTGCAGTCAAAGATAACTCCAAAGTTTTTAGCTTGTGGGTTTCTGGATGACAGGGATCATGTCTGATTGAATCATCTCTGTTTCCTCAATGCTTAATACAGCATCCGGCATAAAGTATACTCTTAACAAAACTATGTGCAAGACTGGGAGTAAAGATGTCCTGTAAGGACTTGGCCTGGGTTATAAGGTAATTATGAAATAAATGGCTAAGACAAAAAGAAAATACAAAATAATATAAAGAAATGGCTAAGGTGGGTAAGGAAGAGGATTGGTCAGGTCAGGACCTCCCCTTTACCTTGCTTATCTCCAGTTAAGACCCACATTTTAATTTGGGCTTTGTTCAGGGTGGCGACTGTCTCAGGTACTCCATCCTGCAGCTTGTCTTCAATGGCTGTGGCCCCTAACAGCTTTGAACAGAGATAGCAGTGAGTGAGGAAAAAGGAGAGCATCACAGCATTTAGCTCTACCCAACAACTCAACTGGCACCTCATCACATTCTTATTAAGTTGTCTCTGTCCTGGCATGAGGATCCAGATAGTATAAAATTCAGCACACTCTGCTTCTTAACAGATTCAGCTTTTCAAACACATAAATCAAATTTAAAAACAGAATATTAGGGATCAAAGAGGGAAAAGACTTGCCCAAGTCATACATGAAGCTGTGTGACACTTCTAAACCATCTGTTTCTCAACACACTTTCCGTTCTCTCTTGCTTCACAGCATACTTCCTGGCTTGCAGGGTTGGCCACAGGGCTGGGCACTGGGACTCAGTCTGAGGAACTGACAGATGGACAAACTACTGGCTGATTTCTGCTAGGCCTCCAGAAGGACAGAGTAGAGGTACTAACCTAACAACTGATTATGGAAGGAGATTTGTAAGCTTTGGGATCTCTGTGTTTTCTCATTTGGTATCAATAGTTTCTCTTTTTATAGCAGAGCCAACCTGTATCATTCAGGTAAAAAATACTTTGGGATCACCCTTAACTTCTCTTTCTTTCATATTATAATCTAATCCATTAGCAAATCCTGTTGGCCCTACCTTTTAAAAAATGTACAAAATTCGACCACTCCTCACCACTTCCACTACTTCTACCTAGTCCAAGCTATCATCATCTCTCACCTGTACTATTCCAACTACCTTCTAATTGGTCTCCCGTGGTCTGTGATTGCTCCCCTATAGTATAATCTCAACACAGCAGTCAGAGTGATTGTTTTGAAAGCTATCGCATCACTTCATTGGTTGAACTCTTCAATGGCTTTCCATATCTCATTATAAGTCCTTACACTGGCTTATGAGGGCACTCTACTACTTCCCTGTCTCACGTCCTTTTATTCTCTCCTCCTCACTTAAACTGTACCAGCCAGACTAACTGCACCTTGCTGTTCAACTAACAAGTTAGGCCTGCTCCTATTTCAGGGCTTTCACTCATGCCATTCCCTCTGTCTGGAAAGCTAATCCCCCAGAGATCTGCTTGGCTTGCCACCTTCTTCACGTCTCTGCTCAGACTAAACAACCTATTTAAAATAGCAACTATGTCTTGCCCTCTCCAAGACATACATGCATATGCTGATACTCCCTAGCTTTATTTTCTCCAACAGCACTTTCATTATCTGACATACTACATATGTCACTTTTTTGTCTGTTTTGTCTGCCACTACATGCTCAGGGCTTAAAACAATGCCTGACACATAGGAGGCACTTAATAAATATGTTGAATGAATGAATGAATGAATGAATGAATGAATGAATATTTTGTCTTGATTATTCCATCAATTAGTTGTGGATTATCTAATTTGTGCATTATTCAGATCCTCATTTCTCCCAGATTACTTAGTTTCTGTGAGCAGCTTTGGGATAAGATAAAATTTATAACTAGTGTTTCCCCTCTATTATTTACAGGGGGAAAGATTTAGGACATCCCGAATCAGCTTGGATTCCAGTATCCTGTATCTAGAGAAGCTCGAACCTATTGATCTGCTGGAAGCCACTCTCAGAGATCTTGCTCACTCTGCTGACTGCCACCCCCAATTCTGCCCCCAATATGTCCCTGGCTTCCTCACACCAACCATCAAATCTTTTTCAATCTCTTCATAGACATTTGACATTTTATGTTCCCGATTCTCCAAAGACAGGCAGGCTTCACTGTGCTTCTTGCTCCAGGCCTGGAAGAATGAGTTATCCAGTTCTCGGTAGGCCACCATCAGGGTGCGGAGGCCTTCAACGGCAAAATCCTGGAAGACATGTGTGTGCACTGAATAGGCCTGGACTGGGTTAGGGCTGAGTTTAGAGAGTGGCAGACTGACCCCACTGGCCCATCTGCCTGCAAAATAGGGCTTAATAGTTAGTACCATAGTGCTAGTACCTAGCCTAACCAGAAAACAACTGGTGAGCTTTCTCAGCAAAATGTCCTAAAGACATTTCTTTCTGGGGAAAGAAGAAAGAAAGAAGAAAGAAAGAAAGAAAGAAAGAAAGAAAGAAAGAAAGAAAGAAAGAAAGAAAGAAAGAAAGGAAGGAAGGAAGGAAGGAAGGAAGGAAGGAAGGAAGGAAGGAAGGAAGGAAGGAAGGAAGGGAAAGAAAGAAAGAAAGAAAGAAAGAAAGAAAGAAAGAAAGAAAGAAAGAAAGAGAAAGAAAGAAAGAGAAAGAAGGAAGGAAGGAAGGAAGGAAGGAAAGAAAGAAGGAAAGAAAGAAAGAAAGAAAGAAGGAAAGAAAGGAAGGAAGGAAGGAAAGAAAGAAAGAAAGAAAGAAAGAAAGAAAGAAAGAAAGAAAGAAAAGAAAGAACTTCTGAAATGTAGAAAATTCTTTTACCTGTAGTTAATTTGCTGTGTGACCCTGCGAGAAATGAAGCCCTCTAGATTTATTTGTTGTAAAATTGGGATAATAATTCACTGCTTACAGAGAAGATTATGATGTCTATAATATGAGAATGGAGTAATAAAGTGAAAAGGAGTTGTTATAAAAAAATAATCAAAGGAGTTACTGTTTTTCACAAGCATACATTCATTTTATTTCCCTGTTTTCCTGCCTTCCTTCAAGCATCCAATGGGTACCTCAAAAGCATACACACATGTGTATTTGTCTACAGCTGACTAGCTCAGTTGATTAACTACAGCCAGCAGTGTTAATGAGGCCACTGATGAAATGCTCTCTGGCTGAGTTAGCATCTTTTTGCTCCATGGCCACTGATATATCCTAACTAACCATGGCTAACTATCTTGCAAAGTATACTCTTGGTCATAAGGAGGTGTGGGTGAAGAGTATGGGTAGTTTAGGGCAGAACTCATATCCAACTAAGGATGGGTTAGAAGCAGATTTTATGGGGGTGCTTGGGTGGCGCAGTCGGTTAAGCGTCCGACTTCAGCCAGGTCACGATCTCGCGGTCTGTGAGTTCGAGCCCCGCGTCGGGCTCTGGGCTGATGGCTCAGAGCCTGGAGCCTGTTTCCGATTCTGTGTCTCCCTCTCTCTCTGCCCCTCCCCCGTTCATGCTCTGTCTCTCTCTGTCCCAAAAATAAATAAACGTTGGAAAAAAAAAATAAAAAAAAAAGAAGGAAGAGATATGGCAGAAACTGATCTTGCATAGGATACTGAAGGAGGTCTTATAAGCTTAACAATACACTGACAGATTCTTAATCCATTTGATAACAATATAGCATATTGCTTTAAAGTTCTTATTAACCCCTTACTTGTGTTATTTTTTTTTCTATCATGGTGAACAAACTAGGGCCCTGGGGCCAAATCCTGACTGTCTCTTGTTTTTGTATGACCTGTTTGCAGATTCCTGTATTAGAGCGCCTGGAACTGTGCTTTAGTAGGAGTGAGTTTTTGACTCTTGATTCCTGAATATAAGCTTCACTCTTACAAGTTTATCATCACTGGTTAACAGACTGTAGTGTAGTCAGGTGCCATATGGGTGTCTGTTAAGGTTGGTAGCAGGAAGCAGGTCAAAACATCTGAAACAATTCTATGATCATCTTTGGAGCTGGCCTATGGAAATGCCCTCTGAGAAGATACTCTAATTCGTGTGTTCTGGAAGGTTAAAGGATATGCTTTTCAGACTAGTCCATTTGTGGATGTATACTGTGGTCTCTGGGACACAGTATAGGACATAAGAGCTGTCTTGTGTGGGATACTTCATAGACTTTGTTTAAAACTTGGACTATAATGTATATATCATAAAATTCACCCCTTTATATAATTCAGTGGTTAAATATACTCATAAAGTTGTACAACCATCACTACTATCGAATTCCAGAACATTTTCATTTCTCGCAAAGGAAACCCTGTACCCATTAGCAGTCATTCCCATTCTCTTTCCCCCTGGCCCTTGGAACCACTAGTCTCCATGCTTTTATCGATTTGCCTGTTCTGGACATCTCATGTAAATAAAATTACACAATATGTGGCCTTTTGTGACTTTGTGACTGGCTTCTTTCATTTAATATAATTTTTTAAAGGTTCATCTGCATGTATCAGTATCATTCTTTTTTGTAACAGTATTTGTTGTTTTGATATACTACATTTTATTTATCCATACATCCATGCCATCCATGATGGACATATGGGTTGTTTCTACTTTTTTCTATTATAGATAATGCTACTGTAAACATATGTGTACAAGTTTTTGGGTAGATGTGTCTATTCATTTCTCTTGGGAATAAACCTCGGAGTGGAATTGCTGGGTGATACGATAACTCTATGCTTAACTTTTTCAACAACTGCCAGATTGTTTTCTAAAATGGCTGCATCATTTTACGTTCCCATCAGCAATGTATGAAGGTTATAATTTCTCTATATCTTTGTCAGTACTTATTATTATCTGATCATCTAGCTATCCCAGTGGTGTGAAGTAGTATCTTGAGGTTTTTATTTGCATTGCCCTAAAGGCTAATGAAATTGAATATCTTTTCATGTGTTTATTGACTTACCTGTTCTCTGACTTCTGATTATGTGTTAATGTAGGGACAAGACAAAATGGATTAATAAAATAGCATTTTCTCCAATCTATTTTTTCTTTAAAATATTTTTTTTTCTGATCTCTCCCTCTCCCATCCCATACCCTGTCCTATTCCCCCAACCCTTAATATATCTGGGTTTATGAGTAGAAATTCTGGAGAGTATAGATCTGTTTTTTCTTTCTAGTGCCAGAAGGAGCCACTCCCTCTCTAACATACACCTCAAATCCTAGAAGGTGGAAGTGGGGTGGGGTAGGTAAGTGGTATACTTGGGGATTCTAATCCTATAATAACAGAGGATAGTGACAAACAACAGTCCCCTAAACAGCCCAGGCCCGGTGCTTTCTGCTCCATACCTTCAAAACTGTGTGTTCTCACCATGGTTGGTGAGGTAGGGCCTCCCATATTAGCATGCCCTATTCTGAAGCAAATTCTAGGTCTGACCATGGGACCTCCGAAACCAGGAATTACAGAGAGAACCATTTTGATTGTGGGAAGTGCTCCCACAGATACAATCCTCATCACGCCCAGTCATGCCCCTGAGATCCTGTGCTATCTAAATTCTTGACACAGAAGTTGGCAATGGAGTCTGTAGGAATACCACAGAATGAAGTAGTTTTTATTCTTCCATCAATTAAAGAGACACAGATACTAATATCTTATACTAAGATACTGTTATTAAGATACTAATATAAGTAACACACAGACACAAGGACATATATGTGGACACATATCCGCATACAAAGAACCACCCACAGTTTCCTTCCCGGGCAACCTAAACACTTACATCTAAATGTTCCATGGTCACATCTCTGAGGAACCTACAGGATGGATGGAGCAGCTGACAGAGGATGGTGTCTGCACCCTTGCAAAACAACATTACTCGATCTTCAGGTGTCCTCACTAAGGATAAACAAATTAAGAAGAGTAATCACATAGGCCCATTGTTACAAGAACTTGTCTGGGCCACTGAGGGATGGCATGAGGCTGTTCCCATGACATTTATTTCTGATCCTTTAGGGGGCTAAGCACTCAGTGAGCAGTCACAGAGGATAAATAATGCCGTAAGGGCCAGTGAGGGTGGGAGGAGACCTTATGGAACCAGTTCTTCCATGGGTTCCTGTGTTCCATGGGTTCTTGTGGAAGACTCTGATTCAGAATCACATTTAGCTTCTCACATTTAGGTTCTAGACCAAGGTCCATACCTAGTAAGGACCAAGAGTGAAAAATGACCTTCTTCCTCTTCTGTCTGAGGCCCAAACTAATTGAGAGTAAGATAGTATGAATTTCCCTTATATTGTCTGCCCCCATCTCTTATTCCAAGGCCAGGCTTCATGGATTTATTCTCTGTTTTCATCTTGGCTTTGGGGGTTCAGACAAGCCACTATCTAGGAACACTAAAGAAGTATATGGTAACAAGCTCTCAAAGAGAAATTATTTGGGTATGTGAGAAAGTAGGAATGGCTATGTGTTTGTATTTGAGGAACAGTACCTTTTTTTTAAAAAAAATTTTTTTTAATGTTTATTTATTTTTGAGACAGAGAGAGACAGAGCATGAACGGGGGAGGGGCAGAGAGAGAGGGAGACACAGAATCTGAAGCGGGCTCCAGGCTCTGAGCTGTCAGCACAGAGCCCGACACGGGGCTTGAACTCACGGACCGTGAGATCGTGACCTGAGCCGAAGTCGGACGCTTAACCGACTGAGCCACCCAGGCGCCCCTAGGAACAGTACCTTTGAGAAGGCATATGAGTGGGAGAAAACATCCGTGTGTATATAAAAGAGAAAGTCAACATGTGAATGTGTATGAAAGACAAATAAGGGGACAGGACTGACTAGGAGGGGCACCTACCAACAATAGACATCCTCTTGCGCACATTGCTGAAGTCCAAAATAGCCAGCAGTTGGTAGACTTTGGTCTCACCCATTTCAACTACTGCAATTGTCTCAGAGGTGCGGTAACGGAACACAAAACCAAAGTTCCTGGCAGCAGTGACAAGGGCACCTTCATCTGGGGACTGAGCCTGGTATACCAGCTTACCTGGTAGGAGAGAAGAGGGCAACAAGAGCCCGCAGAGATGTGCAAGTGAAGTCAACCCAGAAGTGACACCAAGGGACTTAAGTAAATATGGAGCCCAGACATCTTTCTTCAAACTTCCTCACAAGTTTGGCCCTAAAAGGCCAGATTGCATGACAGGTTTTTTTTTTTTTTTTTCCTTTCCAATATTTTCAACTTATTTCACAGACCTGAATTGGTATTACAGAGGTACATGGTATATGCAATATACACAAATGAACAAACACAATTACCCTCTTATTTTAGTGGGTAAAGATGGGTCAGGAGCTTGTTAAAATGCAGGTTCCTGGGCCCTATTCAAGCTTACTGAATCCAGAATCACAAAATCTGGGAGGATGACCCAATAAATTGAATTTTTAACAAATCTCCTGGGTGAGTTTCCAGCAAGTGGTTCTGCATAAACTGCTTCTACATGAGACTGGCTACACTTTGATGGACACTCCTATAAGATAGGATAATAAGGATAGGATATATAGCATAGGATAATATGATTGATGATAATAAGACTGATGATGTAACAAACAATTAAAAAATACATGAGTATTGTCACCTTTGAAACTCTCACTTGGGGAAGGTAAATGACTTATTCTGGTGAATAAGTCTTTCAATCTCATATTACTCAAGACATTTCTGTCTTTAATTTTTTTTACAGTAGAATAAAATAAAAATTTATTCTTTCCCATTTTGTCATTATAAGGTAATTTTAACTTCTAGTTTTCAGTGTCCAAGGTTGAAAAAATACTTTCCTAGATTGTGAAGAAACACTTCAGAAAATTCACAACAAAAACCCTTTCAGTCCTCAGTTGTAACATGTATTGTTTTTTTCTCATCACAAACTACTGAATTCTAGTAACTGCTTCAGATTATTTTGGTCCCAAAAAGAACTGGGCAAAAAACTGCACTGATCGATGCAAACACTTTAGCATCGAAAAATGTGTAACTCCTCTTTCAAAATATCACTACAACCTGAGGTATATTTTGGATTATTTCTCTTTGGAAGGTCAATTTGATTTTTTATTTTAAATGTTTGTTTATTTATTTTGAGAGAGAGAGTAAGGGAAGGGTAGAGAGAGAGGGAGACAGAGAATCTCAAGCAGCCTCCACACTGTCAGCATGGAGCTCACTGTGGGGCTTGAACTCATGAACCGTGAGCTCATAGCCTGAGCTGAAATCAAGAGCTGGAAGCTTAATCGACTGAGCTACCCAGGCGCCCCAGGCAATCTGATTTTTAAAAACAGTTATGCATTATCAGAGTCTTATACTTGTGGATAAGTCACACGGGACACATAATTTTATTTTATTTAAAAAAAATTTTTTTTTTTAATTTTTTTTTTTCAACGTTTTTTATTTATTTTTGGGACAGAGAGAGACAGAGCATGAACGGGGGAGGGGCAGAGAGAGAGGGAGACACAGAATCGGAAACAGGCTCCAGGCTCTGGGCCATCAGCCCAGAGCCCGACGCGGGGCTCGAACTCACGGACCGCGAGATCGTGACCTGGCTGAAGTCGGACGCTTAACCGACTGCGCCACCCAGGCGCCCCGACACATAATTTTAGGTCAGACATAAGACGTATCTATGAAACAGTAAGACTATTTTTCTTGTTTGTTTCCTACTTTGTCACGTAAGGCAATAAAAAATGACAAGTCCAAATATGCTTCAAATAATAGCAACTTGTTAGAATGCCAGGTCTGGAGATACCTGTGGTGGGATGGGATCTCACTGGGCCAAGAGAAATGAGATTTGGGTTCTTATCTTTGCCCTTCTTAACTATAGGATTTTAAGCAAGTCATTTAATCTCTTTTAGCTTCAGTTTTCCTCTATAAAACTGGGGTAATTTTTCTCATTATGCTTACTTAAGAGGGCTGTTGTGAAGCTTGTGGGAGATAATATAAATGTAAGCAATTTGTAAAACTAAAGCTGTTACTGGGGCGCCTGGGTGGCTCAGTCAGTTGAGTGTCTGACTTTGGCTCACATCATGATCTCACAGCTCGTGGGTTCAGGCCGGGCATCAGGCTCTATGCTGACGGTTCTGAGCCTGGAGCCTGCTTTGGATTCTGTTTTTCCCCCCTCTGTCTCTGCCCCTCCCCCACTCACACTCTGTCTCTCTCAAAATAAATAAACATTTAAAAAGTATTCAAATATAAGGTGTTACTAAGGGTATTACACTAAAGGTACGTTGCCTTAAAGGATATGATTTATTTGGTTGCCAAAATTCTTGTTTGTTACCAAAAAAAATTCTTCATTTTTAATCAGTCATTTCTCATTCATTGTTTGTCAAAGAGGTTTGAGTAAATTCATGGGTGTCACAGTCATATTTGATTGTTAAAGAAACCAGGCTATGTGGGGATACCTTGAAATTATGAAGCAACAAGAGGACAACTCAACTCCTCCTTCAGGAAGTCTTGTTAGAGATAATGCGGCTGATCTTGGGGACAATTCAGATAGATTCTGTGACAGAACATTGTTGAATCTCAAGATTGGAAGCTCCCTAGATAGCATCATTTGACCCCTATCCAATGACTGAATCCTCTTTAAGACCAAGAGGCTGTCTTCTACTTGAATATCTCCAGTGATGGGAAGCTCACTACTTGTCTATCCATCCCATTGCTGGACAACACTCCCTATTAGGAAGTTCTTAGATTAAGCCATTATAAATGATATCAAACCAAACCCACCTGTAGCCATCCTAGGTTCTATGACATATTCTTAGTCCATGAGACCACAGGCCCCTCCTCACCTTCCACTTTCTCTTCTGACATCACGGTATGACACAATGAGAGTGAGAGAAAAAACAAGTGTACCCAGCGATCTCCCTTTTTCACTGCTTCTACCAAAGTCTTGTCATAAAATGAAAACTTAGGATCAGCCAGTTTGTTGTAGGAGAAGTCGACCTTTTCTGTTTCCTGGAACACAGAAGTCAGAACAAACTTCTTAGTAGCAGCCTGACACTTTACAGAAGATCTATTTGGGGACAGCTTCTGGAACGTGATGAGAATTCTCAGGACGATGGGAGGAGAAAAGAAAGATAAATGGAGGAGACTTTGTGCTGGTTTCTAAGGCCTTTGTAGTTCTCATCATTCCCTTGGACCAGGAAAGATCCATCCCATAGGAGACAAGCTGAGCACTGCCTGGCAGACCCTTCTTGCCCCCTTTCTTCCCCAGCTACCCTGAATGATCAGTGGCCATCTTCACGTTCTATTCTTCTTCTTCTTTTTTTAATGTTTATTTTTAAGAGAGAGAGAGAGAGGGAGGGGGAAGGAGAGGAAGAGGGAAAGTACATGTGCACAGGGGAGGAGCAGAGAGAGGGGAGACAGAGGATCCAAAGCGGGCTCTGTGCTGATAGCAGAGAGCTTCTAAGTCCCAAATCCATGATAACCAAACCTGAAGATATGAGGAGGTAACTGCTCCATATTAATAAATGGTATCGGGAAAAAGTTTTGTCTCTGGCTGTCCTCTGTCTGATTTTGGGGGCTGGGAAGGGAACTGAGTCCTAAGTACAGTGACTATCACTGTGTTGCACTATTTCTATTTAATTCTACAGGGGCTAGAGACAAATACTGCAAGATAGAGGCAAGAGTATATAACAAGGAAGCTTCAGTACATACTTATCACAGACTTAATTTTGAGCCATTTTACTTGATCTGTCAGCATCTCTGGTTCCTTCCTGCTTCTAACCCTCATGGTCATTGCCCTTACCTCAATCTCTGGACCTAATATTCACTAACATTTTCCCAGTTCCTTTAGATATTGACTCTCATTCTCTATTTTGGCTAGGCTTTTGGTGGCCACCTTGGGTAAACATCTGTTTCTGACTTGATTTGGCCTTGAGACTCTTTTACCCCATCCTGGAGTGTGATGTTAGTAACAAACTTCTCCAATCCATACCAGGATTCTCAAGGATGCTTTTCCAGTTCTTTGTAGTTGTGGTGCTACCTGTGCTAGGCCCCAATATGTCAAGCACAGACACAACTGTCCTGGTTCATGCTATGTCAGGGAAAGGGAAGTTTTAGTGAGCTATATTGGCTCTTTTCTATATCACATCTAGAAGGAGTTTTGTCATAGTGGTGTTAAAGTATGGTCAGGTCCAGAGGCAAGCCCCAGACCTGGCCAACCACAGAATTGTGAGCTCTGGGAAGTTTGCGGTTCCAGTAATTTAAGATAATTCATCATATAGTATCTCCTGAGGCTTTTGTAGAGCTGGGCTCTTACACTGGCACACTCTTTGAACTGGAAGCTGGTGAGTGATGTGAGAAAAGCTGAAGAGGTAGGCATGAGGTAGATCCTGCATTGCCATCTTATAGGCAATAGGGAGTCACAGCAATTTTCTGCTGAAAGTGCATAATTAGGGACGTCTGGGTGGCTCAGCTGGTTAAGCATCTGACTTCAGCTCAGGTCATGATCTCTTAGTTTGTAAGTTTGAGCCCCGCATCAGGCTCTGTGCTAACATCTCAGAGCCTGGAGCTGCTTCGGATTCTGTGTCTCCCCCTCTCTCTGCCCCTCCCCCCGCTTGCACCCTGTCTTTCTCTTTCTCTCTCTCTCTGAAATAAACATTAAAAAAAAGAGAAAGTGATATAATTAGATTTGTGTCAGATAAAGTCCTCTGGTAGCAGCATGGAAGACATACTGGAACTAGCAAGATGAGAAGCAGGGAGATCAGTCAGATCATTCAGTAATCCACAAGAGAAATGATATAGTAACAATAAATATTAAAATAAGGGGATGGTTTGAATATATAGGGAGCTAGAATTATGCAACATGATATGAGGGGTGACAGAGGGAAAGACTTAAGAATAATTTTATATTTCCTCATTCACTGTGATAGGATACCTGTCAGGAGGAGGTTTCTGATGGACTAAATTGGAGATACTTGAAGAACTAACAGGTAGTAATGAAAGCAGGCATATATAGTTTTGAAGTTTAGGTAAGAGATTTGAGCTAGTTTCTAATCTCCTCTTCCAGGCAAGTAATGTTTGAGAATACTGCACCTGGCTGGGTACAGCAGTGAGGCAGGGCTGGCTTGGAGCTGCAGTACAGCATGACCTGAGAAGTAGCATTCATGGATAATTCTGAAATTGAAAGCCAAACAACCAGTTAAAAAAGGTTGAAAGGCAAATCCAGGTACCAGACAAAAGGATGGAAACTGGGGATATCAAGTGAAAGGAAGTGGATTCAGAATGGAGGGTAGAGGTGGCAACTGAAGAAACTCCTGGAGATGCTGTGACATAGCTATAATTAGTTTTTATAAAGTATCTTTAGCCTTGGCCATGGGTGGGAGGGAGCTACAAAGGATTCCTCTGATAGATGTATTTGGAGTTCATCAGTAAGTATGTGGTAGTTAAAGTCATGTAAATACATGAGATTATTCCGGGAGACGATACAGATGGGGAAGAGGTTCAATAATAGAGCCTTGGAGAACATCAGTCCCTATGGCCAAGTTGATGAGAAAAAGCAGACAGGAAGAAAAAACAAGAACAGAGCTATTTAACAGGAGCCAATGGACAAGAAAACTTTAAGAAAAAGTGGAGTTTAGGTGTTAAAATCTGCAGAGAAGTTGAGTAAGGACTTAACAGCAAGGCAGTCATTAGTGAGCTTGGCTAGGATAGTTTCAGTGGCTATCATAGGACAGAATCTTATTACAGAGAGTAGGTTGAAGAATAAAGAAAGGTGAGGAGTTAGAGACCTCTGTAATTGCCTGTTTACTTATATGGCTCCTTCTCAAGTCTGCCAACTCTCTGAAGGTAGGGAAAATGTCTCTTTTGTTTTCCTCCAACCTTTAGCATTTACTCAAAGTCTGACATATGGTTGATACTCAGTAAGTATTTTGGACTGATGGGAGACAGACAATGTGTAGAGGGTAATACAGGAATGGTTCTAAGTGCTTTTTAAAATATGAAATTTATTTTTAGTGGTTACCTCTGGTTAATGGGCTTAGGGTTATTTTAACTCATTTTTTTAAACTATTTTAAGTTAATACTCTTTTTTAGAATAGTCTTAGGTTTACAGAAAAATTGGGCAGAAGTACAAGGAGTTCCCATATATTATCTCTCTCTTCTTTCTACTCTGATTTCCTCTATTCACATCTCACATTAGTGTAGTACATTTGTTACAACCGACAAACAAATATTAATACGTTATTATGAACTAAAGTATATAGTTTACAGTAGAATTCTGCATCATACAGTTCTATGGGTTTTGAAACATACATATTGTAATGAATCTACCATGACAGCATCACACAGAATAGTTCCGCTGCCCTAAAACTCTCCTGTGTTCCGCTCTACTGCTTCATCTCTCTCTCCACCTCTCACCAAGCCCCTGGCAACCACTGATCTTTTTACCGTCTGTACTAATTTGCCTTTTCCAGAATGTCATATAGCTGGAATCATAGTATGTAGCCTTTTCAGATTAGCTTCTTTCACTTAGCAATATGCATTTTAAATTCTTCCTTTTGTGTGTGTGGCTTGATAGCTCATTTATTCTTAGTGCTGAATAATATTCCATTGTAGGGATGTACTATTTTTTTTTTTTTAAGGAAGGGAAAATTTGAGCTGAAGGGAAAGAATCACATAAGAAGAATAACTTTCAGATATTAAGAAGGAGCGAATACAGGATTGACTGAGGTTCCTGAAGAAGTAGAAAGGGATGGAATGTAAAATATACAAAGAGACTTGTATTGAAAGAAAACAGGATACCTTTTTTGAGACTGAAGGAAACTAGGTAAAGGTGTGTTCTGAAGTATGTATGGAAAAGGATATTTAGCTGATAGTTTGAATTTTTCTCAGTAAAGTTGAAGGCAATATCATCTGCTGCATATTGGGGACAGAGGGGGATATAGTAGAAGGCCTGAGGGTGAATTCTAGAATAGCTAACATGCAGAATTAAGTATGACGCTGATCACAAATTAGTAAAAAATTATCCAAATAATATTGGAAGCCTAAAAGAGGTTGGAGTTTCTGAATTTTTAATGAGTTTGTGATCTCCAAAAAGTGCTTGGCACTCTGAGATTAGAACAGAGAAGGATAGATGGCTTGGTTAATTAAAGGTTGAGATTTGGTGAGTGATTAAAGAGAAAAAGGACTAGTAAGGTACTGAGGATATTTATGATCCTGGGTACAGATGGGGGCAAGACAGGAAAGGAAGTAAAGCCAGGAGGAATTGACAGACTTGGAGAAAAAGGAGAGCTGAGGGCTTGTGAGTTTTCCAAAGATAAGAAAGTAGGCATAGGGGCACCTGGGTGGCGCAGTCGGTTAAGCGTACGACTTCAGCCAGGTCACGATCTCGCGGTCCGTGAGTTCGAGCCCCGCGTCGGGCTCTGGGCTGATGGCTCAGAGCCTGGAGCCTGTTTCCGATTCTGTGTCTCCCTCTCTCTCTGCCCCTCCCCCGTTCATGCTCTGTCTCTCTCTGTCCCAAAAATAAATAAACGTTGAAAAAAAAATTAAAAAAAAAAAAAAAAGAAAGCAGGCATATATAGCAGAAGTCAAGTACTAAGAGAGATAGAGAAATAAAGTATGTGACCAGAGATCATGATGAGAGAGTTTACAATTTCAGAGTAGTACAATTCTAGATAGTGACATGGAAAAGGGTGCTGAAGATTTTTTGGGTACTACAGGTCATCTGAAAGGCATATTTTTTCTGACATCTGAAAGCATCCATGGTGACAGATCATCCATAAAGTAGCCAGTACCACCCAAGATGATAGTAGGGATTGGGTACAGAGGAAGAATAGGAGCCAATTTTCAAAGTCCTCAGTGAATGAGATGAAGAAGTCAGAAGATGCATAGATGTCAGTGACAGGAAGAGTTAAGAAGGAGCATTGGCAGAAGTCATAAGCATCACAGGAGGAAAAATTATATGAGGAAGAAAAAGTAACGGTTTAAAGTTAGCACAGGATAATGAAGACAATACATTTGGGCTTTTGGTATGCAGAATAGGAGAGATGGAGGAAAAGGGATGTTCTCAGGGAAAGTCAATCAAGGCAGGGAGAAGAAATCATTTTTATGAAGAGATGAGGCAACAGGTAAGCTTGTTTACAAGAGAAAAAAGAGTCCAGTGATCCAGTGGAACACATGTTATGATTAATCAGTAGTGGAAGGAAGAGGTAGGGGAAAGGAACTCCAGAATAACAGTTTATTCCCTATAAGCTATAACTTTGTTTATATTGCCAAAGTCATTTGCAGAGTCTCTAGAAGGGGACTTAAGGGGGGAAAAAGTAGATTTTCTATCCCTTTCCCAATCTCTTTGGATAGATAGGGGTGAGAAAGTAGTTGGGAGCTGGAGTTAGCTATTTGGTATATAAGTCAAGTGGCTAAGGGTTTGGAATTCGTTATAGAAGGAAAGGGATAGGGTGAGGAGTATCATGAAGGTAACAGACAAAGCCCTATGAAGGGATGTTTAATATCAAATCTATAAACAAAAGCTGAGATCCAATACTGGAGAAAATAGTCAAAATGAACCAGCTAGAAATAGAAAGAATGAATAGGAAGATATTTTTATAATTGTGTGGGATACAACTATTCAGTATGTTGCAATATAATGTTCCTGAAGCTATAAAGGAAAAAGACTGACATGACAAATTTGATCACATACATTAGAAACTTCTACACAGAAAAAAAAAAAGAAACTTCTACACAGAAAAAAATATAAACAAAACCCAAAAGACAAAAATGGGGAAAGTAACTGTACTGTATGTGCCAAAGGAAAGGTTGTTATTTTTACTTTATAAAAATTACTTTCAAGTAAGAAAAAAAGGGCAAAGAATATGAACGGGCAACTGAGAAAATAACTAGAAACAGGCAATAAAGTGGGAAGGGGAAATAAGCACATAAAAATGATTCAATCTGATTAGTAATCAGAGAGAGGTAAATAACATGAGATGCCATTTTAACCAATTAAATTTCTAAAGATTAAAAAATTATTAATACTCAGTACTCATAAGGATATGAGAAAAAAAGAATTATGATATATTTTTGGTGGGATTATAAACTGATGCAATCTATCTAGGAGCAATATGGCAATATTAAATGTGCTAAAAATGTGGCTACCCTTTGACCAATCAGTTTCACTCCCAGGAGTTCATTCGAAGGAAATAATTATCAGAAGAAGAGACAAAACTGTAAGTACCAGGGTGCTTACCACAGTGCTATTTATAATAATAACAAAATAAAATGGAATAAAAATAGGGGATTGGTTAAATAAATTAAGGTACACTAATACAAATGGATATGCCACTCATTCAAAATGATGATGTGGACCTAAATTTACTGACATGGAAATGGGACTAGAATATAATGTCAAGTGAATAAAAAGGAGGCTGCAAATAGGATACATGCTATGATGCTTCCTCTTTCTTTCCTTTTTCCCTTTGTTCTCTTTCCTCTCTCCCTCCATTCCTTCCATCCATCCATCCATCCATCCGTCTATCATTAGATCTTGATGTATATGTGTGTGCATATACACACATGGAAAACACGTGAAAGAATATACCCCCAAATTTTACATTGGTTTTCTAAAGGAGATTGAATGATTTTCACTTTCTTCTTCATACATTTCTGCATTGATTGGATTTTAAAACAAATTTATTTTGGAGAAAGAGAGCCTGAGTGGGGGAGGGGCACTGAGAGAGGGGGCTCCAAAGAGAGTTCTGCAGTGACAGTAGTGAGCTCGAGTTCTATGCAGGGCTCTAACTCACGAACCATGAGATCATGACCTGAGCCGAAGTTGGACGCTCAACCAACTGAGCCACCCAGGCACCCTGACTGGACTTTTTTAATATGAGGAAAGACTATTTTTCAAATAGGAAAAAAGAAAAAAGAAAAAAGAAAGAAAGCTATTTTGATTTTAAAGCACAAACCCAAATCCCCTCAAATAAACATAGATCATTTATATAATGCTTTCTGATATTATGGGCCAATAAAAGCTTTACTATTTCAGGGGCTAAGGGGCTCTCAATTTGTGTCAAAGATGCTGCTGTTTAGCATGGTCTCAGCTCTCACGCATATCACAGGTAACTGTAATCACTCACCTCAGAGACTTCTACTTTCATTCCCTTTTTGTCATAGACATGACCTGTTGATAAGTAAAGAGAGCAGAGACTTGGCAATGTTTAAATTATTTTTTTGCTGTGATAAAATACATATAACATAAAAATTTAACCATTTGTTAGCATACAATTCAGTGTCATTAATCACATTGACAATGTGGTACAATAATCACCATTATAAATTTCCAAAATTTTTTCAGCATTCTAAACAGAAACTCCCCAATTCCTCCCTATTCCTAGCCCCTGATAACCTCCACTTTTTGTCTCTATAAATTTGTCTATTCTAGATATTTCATATAAGTAGAATCATACACTATTTCTTTTTGTGTTTGGCTTATTTCACTTAGTATAAAGTTTTCAAGAATCATCCATGTTGTAGCATGTGTCAGAACCTCATTACTTTTTATGACTTAGTAATATTGCTTTGAATGGATATACCACAATTTGTTTATCCATTCATCTGTTGACGGACACATGGTTGTTTTTACCTTTGGGCTATTGGTGAATAATGCTGCAATGAATGCCAGCATATATCTATCTGTTTGAATCCCTGTTTTCCATCTTTTGAGGGGAATATACCTAGGAATAGATTTAGGGGGTCATATGGTAATTTAAAGGAAGGTTAACAGCTTATTGCTTCTGATTCTATCATCCCAGACTTCCCATCAAGCTTCCTTGAATCTCCTCAGGCCACCCAGCCCCTAGTGTCCCAGTAAGCTCCACTCCCCAAGCTAATGGTAAGAGGTCATTTGCTTGGGCCCCAACTCTTCTCCCTTAAGTGTGAGGTAAGGCTGGAAGTTAGTCACTGGATGTGGGAAAGACCTTCTATTTCATGAAGCCCTCCAGTCAGAAAAGTTACCTAGAAGAAATATGAAAATAGTGCAAGAATGTTTAGGATTCTTGGCCAGCAGATAGTATAAACAAAATAGCAGTGGAAGACAGTCTTATGTCAAGCATAGAAACAACCATGGTCCTTTTGGGACACCTGGGTGGCTCAGTCGGTTAAGCCTCTGACTCTTCATAGTTTGTGGGTTCAAGCCCCACATAGTTTGTGGGGTCTTCAGAAGGTGGGGCCTGCTTACAATTCTCGCTCTCTCTCCCTCTCTCTGCCTCTCCCCCACTCATTATCTCTCTCAAAAGTAAATAAACATTAAAAAAGAATTAGAAAAAAAAAAAGAAGAAGAAACACCCATGGCCCTTTCAACCTTACCCAGTGTATCATCAGATCTTATAATGAGACAGAGAATTAAGATCTTTACCCAAATCAACTCATCTAAAAATAGGCTTTCAGAGTTTATACATAGGAAAAGTTGTTTGGCAGGGATAATAGGAAATAGTAGCTTTTTAAAAAAATCTTAATCTTAAATTTTAATCTTAAATTTTTAATTATTTTTTAATTGAGGTGAAAGGCATAGGACATACAATTAACCATTTTAAAGTGTACAATTCAGAGGCATGTAGTGCATTTACAATGTTGTATACTACACATCTCTCTAGTTTCAAAGCTTTTTCATCACCCCAGAGTAGAAATGCTCTACCTTTTTAGATGTGATTGCCTTCCTCAGCTAGTTAGTGCATTGGGCATGAATGTTCACATACCCGAGGACTTAACCCTGTCACAAAAATAAGTTTAGGCTTAAGGCATGAAATGAATGAGGAATTGGGCATTGGGGACCCTGCCCAACCAACTTGACTATCCTTTGATGGCTTCTCTCAAGACTGCTTATTGGTCTGAGGGGGAATCAGGAGATTAGCAGCTTCAACAATATCTGGTTTCTCTGTGTGATTTAATATGAGAGTGAACTGACCCTCTCAAGACATTGGGAATTCCTGGAGGACAGAGATTAAGTCTTGTACATCTTGGTATTTCCAATGTCCAACACAATGGATTACCTCTATAAGGTGTGAAATAAATGCTTTTTGGTAAGCAACTGAATGGAGTAGGTGATCTTTGTTTAATGAGTAAAGAAGGTTGTGAGAATAAGAGATAAATGTGAATTTCAGAGGTATATAGAATTAGAAGCAGATTATTCTTGAAAACAATCTGCAAAGTAGAATTTCCCCAGGACTCAGGGAAAGCAGGAAGACATGCATACCATAGAACATCCCATTAATAGAACACTTATTGAAAACCATGATGTTCTGAGTCAGGGTTCCTGTTTTGTCAGAGAACACGTATTTGACCTGGCCAAGCTCCTCATTAAGGGTGGTGGTGCGAGCCTGTGCTGGTGAGTTCTTTGGTGCATAAAACATCTTCCGATCCCAGTTGATATAGCAACTGTTGCCCAATCTTATTATCTCAACACTATGGAGAAAGCAAGAAAAGAAGCGTCCTGGGTTAGAACATATCAAATACATAATCCTGGTTTCCTTCTTAACAGGTCAGGGCCAGCATCTGAAAATCAGAATATCCTCCTTGGGAACCTACCATGGATTTTGAAGGACATTCCCACCAGCCAACCCAACGTAAATCTGATCTCGACCATTTTCACTCAGTGCTTTACCATCTGGATCCAGATATACTTCATTAATTTTGCTGAGGCATAACCCCCTTTCATTTTTTCTTCTTCCAAAACATATCCAGGAAAAATAAAAAGTTTTGAACTTTTGCAGTAATGCAAGGCCTGGTAGAATTATGAACTACCTAGTAAAAGGCTGTTTAGGCTTAATTAGAGGATTACTGTGGCTGTCATGTAAATCCACTGGCAAGGAAGAGAAACTTAAACACTCAGAAACTTGTTTCAGAAGAAGGGAAGGATCTGTGAAAATCAGAAACAGGTCATAGAAGCTGACCTGATAAAATTCCTGGCAGGGGCAATCTGCCTGTGGGGTAGCTTCTCCCGCTAATAGTGTCCTCTTCACTTTACCTGAATTTTCCCTATTGCCTTTATCACATTCCTCTTCTGTTCCAAATAATTCATATTATAGATTCTTTATGGTTAACAGGCATCTTCATTTTAAAATAGTTAAGATTTTTAATGGGCCTCCTTCCTATCACCATTTGTGCTTAATGTGTGTTAGTTTTGGTCACTTCTAAAAGACAACTGCATTGAGCAACATGTTTGTTTGTTTGTTTGTTTAATTTCAGGTGAGGCAGGAGTGCTCTAGCCCACATTACTGACTCTACAGGTCCTCAAGCACTGAATCTTGATCCCTCCCTTCCTTTGCCACACCAACCAACATAGCTATTTCTCTAAACCCAAACATTTAATCATATCATTTCTTTCCTTAGAAAAATCTTTGCTGCCTTTAGGATAAAATCCAAACTCCTTGGGAGTCACCTGCATGGCTCAGTCAGTTAAGTGTCTGACTTTGGCTCAGGTCATGATCCCACAGTTCATAAGTTCGAGCCCCACATCAGGCTCTACTTTGACAGCTTTTTTGGGGGGGGG